ATCAAACTATATATCTATTTAGCTATCTCTCCGTTTATTTACCTATGTATCTATCTGTCTATTTATCCGTCCCGACCGGCATCACCGGCATCGCCAACGTCTGGTCCAATCTTGATCATTTTTCAAAAAACATTGAAAAACGCAGCATTTCTAGGAGAAAAGTGCGCCTCCCCCCCCCAAAGCTAAAGCTTAGGATTTATCTAGCCGGATTCCTCGCGATGTTTACACGAGCCCACACAACGCCCTCGGCACCTCCGGTGCGGGCGGATTTCAGAACATGCCTGGACGGATCCAGGACAAATTGGTGGACACTCCAAAACAAGACCTGAAAGGACTTGGAGTCAACAATAGGATCCGACGAAGATGGCAGAGAGAAGGTGTCACCATCCATCTCTATACCGGGAAAAAGGAGGGCTACTACCTACAAAGAGCTGTTGAAGAAATGGGAGGAGATCTAACGAGGGTGTTCAAAGTGGACACACTGAGGAACATTTCCCACGACATGATGGCAGATGACGGCGTATACTCCTGTTTGCTGAGGATGGCTATGGATGGCGTGGTGGACGGGATCATCGGGGGTCCGAATTGTCGAGAGACATCCGCCATATGAAACGATGCCCGGTCCATCGAGAACAATCAATTATCCATGGGGTTGCCTCAGAATAGTGAGCGGAGCGCGCCAAGTGCTACATCGACGACGTCCTCCTCTACCGGATGATCCTCCTGCAGGTGGTTGCGCAAATGAAGAGAGATGTCAGGCTTGCACAGGACTCCAAGTCAGGGATGGACCCAAAGGCTCGAACAACCTGCAGAACCCCCTCAGGAGCCTACATGTGCTTCGTTTTGGAGGACGGGAGAATGGACGACTTTGAAGGCTATCCTGGGATTGGAATTCACTACATTCCAGCAGGGTGACTTTGGGGACCTAGCAGCAAAACAAACGTCTGTGGCCGTGAACTTCCAATTTCGACCTCCAGAAAGAAAACCAACGGAAAATGAAGGTGATGACATACTAGCCGGAGTACCCGGAGATGGAGATGAAGGTGCAGGTGATCAAATTCATATGGAAGAGGAAGTTCCAGTGGAATCTGAAGCAAAAGAACAGGATGATGAAGAAGAGTTCAAGAAGAAATACAAAACGAACAAGGTGGTGACAATGATGCTTTGCGTCCCGCTGTACTCCAAGAGCGCATCGGAGGTTCTGTCGGGCACTCAGGAGTTCTCGTCATGGATACCCGCTTGGGCGAATCCACTCAGATGCTGGGCGGGAGTTTGACAATGGACCGTTCAAGCGGTGGTGCATGGAAAGGGGATCTGCAAGGACACCTAATTGCCCAGATGAGCATGCCCAAAACGGACTAGCTGAAGCTGCCATCAACTCCATCAAGCAGAGGGTCCGCCGGTTGTTGCATGGGGCAGGAATGAAGACATATTGGTGGCCAATAGCTGCCTGCCACGTAGTGGAACTAGAACGGTGAAAAAGAGAAAAGATCACGGAACGGCTTCCCATATTCGGTCAACAGGTGAAGATAAAGAAGAGGTCCTGGGAACCACAGAGACAAGGAGCAATTGAGTCCACGGGGAGAGCAGATGACATACTTGACCCCAATCCCAGACGTCTCAATTAAGGGCCATGCAGTTCTGACGGACCGAGACACCATCAAGATTGTGAGCTACACGATCCAGGACATTAAGGAGCCAGTAGTCGATCAACATGAGCTGGAGTTGATAGAGGTTGATGCAGGCGGTGATCCAATTCGATTTAGGAAATACATTCGAGAAAAGGCGAGTGTCGCCTGCCTGCAGATTGCTGGAAAGAATCAACCTATTCAGAGTCGTGAACGATGAGGAGCAGAATCTGCTTGGGGCTCAACCACGAAAAATACCAGCCTTGCAGCGAGGACTCGCTCCTTTTCGAGCAGAACAAGAAGCGGAAGCAATGCGTCCTCTTGAAGATGAAGTGTTGCAGACTCGCATCATCCCCAATGAAGAGGTCTTCCAGAACAAGGCAGAATGAATTAAAATTATCATCAAACAAATCAAATCCCTTGAGGCAAAGGAGGCAATCAGGCGTCTGACTCCGTAGAACGTGGCGTATTACCGAAGGGAACATGCCGAGAAGCTTGAAATGGTTCTTGGCAAGGCAATTCACTCCATCAAAGCCCCGGATGCCCGCAAGAAATACCGCTTAGTAATATGTAGGAACTACCTCAACGGAGGAGCCACAAGACGCTGCCCAACTCTACGCTGGCGGAGCTGACACAACATGTCTACGAGCAGCTCTGGCGATTTCGGCGCTTCGAGACTAGACAGCAGCGATTCTAGATGTCAAAACGGCCTTTTTGAATGCACCACTATATCCAATGGAAGAGAGCAAAAGAAAGAAGCTCCTAGCACTGGAAGATCGTGAAGGTGATGAACCGAAATCAAAGGAAAAAGACACGGAGGAAGAGCCAGACCCAAATCAGAGGGAGCGTTTGGTCCTAATGCAGCCTCCCCGGATCTTA